CTCCAGCCAGGAGGTGGGACTTTTAAGAGTATACCAGCTGCAGTAGTAGAAGGGGGATATAATCTTGCTCTACACTGGACAAGATGATACTTGGGTCTCTGAGGTGATGACTGGGGCTATGGAGCTGCCTAGAGATTATGTCTTTTGTCTTTGGCTACCAGGGCAGGTAGAGAAACACCATCAGGTGGGGACAGGGTTAGGCAGGTCTGAGCTCAGACTCTCCTTGTGTGTGGGGCCTTCTGTGGCCACTGTGGATATAGGGGTATGGTTCTCAAGCCGATATAGTTATGTTCTCAAGGAAATTATGGCTGCCTCTGCTGCATCATACAGGTCTCCAGGGAAGTGGGGGAAAGCAGCAGTGACAGGCCTCTCCCAGCTCCCATGCAGCCAGCAAGGCCAGGCTCACTCAGCTGTGTCCCACCAACAGCACCAAGTTTGTATCCAAGCAGCTGGCAAGCAGGCATTCTAACATTTTTACCCAAACCATGTGAGGGTGAAAGTGGTTGACTAGTTTCATTTTTTATTTTGTTTTTCTTTTAATGACCTTAATTGGAAAAGTAAAAAAATTGGCAATCCTAATTTAGCTGCCAAAATTCCTTAGAAAATGTTACTGTAGCATATAATCCTAAAGAATGGGGAACCTTGGTTTAGAAAGCAGAAATCCCTTGTTTTGCCAACTGGAACATTAGGAGCAATCACAGTGCCTTTTAATCATGAGTATTGTGTATCCAGAGTATACAGGAAGCAAGGTCTTAGGGAAAAAAGAATTCTAGCCTGCTTGGTTATTGCTTATTTCAAAATGCAAGCACACAATTTAAAATCCAGTCACACCCGCTTTTACAGAGATACAAGCCTGCTATTGCAAGTGTTTGTAAAGTGTCTGTTAGCAGTTAATAAGTAAAGGTGTTGGCTTATATTCTGAGGGTTGTAAGGTGCTCGGACAGCCTAATTTGCCTAGAATAGGATGAAATTTGATTCTTCTCTTGATGTTTGTATTCTAAAACTCTTGGTACTTTCCTCCATTGCTTAAAAATACAGTTCTAAGAACATTTGTGAACCTGTAAGCATGGCTTACACTTTGCCTCTGCGGTAACGGCTGTGGTGAAAGTGCTGGGCCCTGGAATGACTCCAGCATTCCTATTGACTAGCAAATTCTGGAACAGAGCCAGAGTGGAAATGAAGGATGAGTTATTATATTGAAACAGAAAGTAGAACTTAAGAAAATAGGTACAAAATTCAGATTTCCTCTCTTGAGGAAGATGTTTCCATAAAGAAAATAATTAGCCCTTGGTGAGGTTGGAATGTAAGAAATGGAAAGTTTACATGAGGAAGGTGAAACAGCTTGCTGGGAGGGAGCATAGGAAAAAGCAGACCTGTGGCTATGCCTTTGAGTGTAGATATATTGACAGTTCCTACACAGGCTATTGCTGTAGGTGTCTATAAATTATAAGCTAAGACCAGATTTAGAAAGACCTCAGCTATTCACCCATGCCTTACTGAGTTCAGTAAAACACATGGAGAGACAACAATTTTTAAAAAAGAAGAAGGAAAACAAAAAGACAAAAACTTGCTCATTTATTTTCTTTTTGTGCATTCAGTGAATGCTAATTACAGACACATTATTTATGGGTGACAAAGCCAGTCTCCGATTATCTGGGTTGAAGCCTTGGAATAAGTTACTGTGCTTACCTGTTTCCTTTGTGATGCAAACTAAGGACTACGGTGTTATTTAGAATGTGAATTGTCATTCTGGAAGAGGCTTTGAAAAAATTATAGTCTAGATAGATCTTCCAGACAGATACCAGTCAGGACTTTTCTTATCATGAAAGGTACAAAATATTTCATGGTGCCTGTACCTAGAATTGGATTCAAGTCAGATAATAAGGCAAATTCAGAAAAAAAAAAATGAAGAGTTTGAAAGGGCCCAGGAAGACAAATCTAACCTCTTTTCCAGATTCTTAAATCATAATTTTTTATGACTGAAAAGGAGCTATAATGATCATATAACAATTTATTATGGATTGCATTTCTGATTTGATTATTATTTTGGGGTTACAGATTCTGAGATCCTAAAAAACCCAAATCCAGCTCTGCTGATCATCCTACTGCTTCGTGGGTTCCCCAAGAAAATCATGTATCATGGCAGACAGTGAAAAAGGATAGAAAGTGTTACATTATTGATGCCGTGAACATGCTGCGAAGCTCTGATAAAAAGGTTGGGTTGACTCACAAGATTTACTGAGACCTAAATTATTCTTCTAAACTGCCCTCTTTCTTTCTCTACTCTCCATCTAAATCTTGACACCCAGGTTTCAAAACATGACAATGCAGGAAAAGATGAATGATCAGGCCCCAAAAGAAACCCAAGTCTACTCACCAACCTGTGGGCATGGAGTCAGAAAAGAGAGACTAGCAGTCTCCCCCAGTGGCCTGCCCTGCCTACATCTGTTTACCACACAGAGACAGGAAGACAGAGTACAAGAAAGAGGCTGGAGCTTCTCAGGGTATAATTAATCTGGATCCCTCATTCCCTCCATGTCAATGTTTAGTTCTTTCAGATAAGCATCTTCTCTTCCCCCTATAAAAGAACCAACCAAGAGGACAGTGAAGAGAGATGAAAGCCTTCTGATAGAAAGATATATTTCTGAAGTGCATGTTTCTGCCTCTATAATAGCAATAATATCTGCCATATATCAAGGACGTAGTATGTGCTATATGCTTGTCAGATGGCCTCATTTCATTGTCACAGGAACCTGTAGTGTTGGCATTGTTATACTCCAATTACAGATTTAAAAAAGCAACACCACCACCAAGGCTCAGAAAGGTCAAGATTCACCTCCTTCAGCTATCTACCCAGTGTTTAAATACCCTCTGTGATGGATAGTCACATTGGCTACTGTTGGCTTATAAAAATAGAAAATTCACTTTCACCACCACTCACACTCCAGAGAGCTTAATTCTACTATTGGTAATTCTGATCGTGATTAATATCCCCCTGCTATTAAAAATGTTGACTCCCTATAGCCTACTACTTGACTACTATTTGTATCTTCTATAATAGTGGTTCTCAACCCAGGGTGATTTTACACCAGTAGATATTTGGCAACGTCTGGAGACATTTTTGGTTGCCACACTTGGGAGTGTGGGTGCTACTGGCATCTCATAGGTATAGGCCGGAATGCGGCTAACCATGGCTATAATGCACAGGACAGCTCCCTACAACGAAGACTTATCCAGACTAAAATGCCGATAGTTGTAAGATTGGGAAATCCTGTTCTGCAACCACACAAAGCAAATTGGATTATACTCTGAATTAGCCCTTAGGTCTCTCAAGAAAACAATAATGACATGTCTAACCCCTCCACCATATATATGCCCCATCCATACCACACTCACTCTTCAGTCATCTTATACTTCTCTGTTTAAAACTCCACTTAAAAAAAAAAAAGGCTCAGAAGACTAAGTGAACTACCCAAGGTCAAATACTGGTCAATTGACCAGTATTTGACAAAGCCAGCCCTAGATCTGAGATTACTTAACTCCAATTTCAGTTATCTTCCAACTATATCATGTGCAATCTTTTAGTCCTTTCATTGGAAATAAAAGTGAATAATACAGACAATGTCTCTATTCTCACAAAGTTTATACTCCAGTGAACATTAACTTAACATTTTCCCCACCCATGTATAAATTTTATTCTCCACTGTCATTTGATTTGGTCATGTTAACTTTTAAAACCAATAAAAGGATTCCCATAGTCAAGGCCCACAAAGGAAAGCATAACTACTTTCATGTCAAATAAAAGTCTGTGCATATAGATCAATAGAACAGAAGAGTCCAGAAGTGAACCTACACAAATGGTTTTGACAAAGGTACCACAGCAGTTCAATGGGAAAAAGATAACCTTTTCAACAAATAATTCTGAAACAATTGAACAGTCATAAATGAAAAGATTAATCTTGAACCCTATTTAATACCATAAACAAAAATTAAATCAAAATGGATCATAAACCTGAATGCAAGATCTAAAATTACAAAATGTATTTTAAGAAAAAAAAGTTAGTGACCTTCAGCTCAAATGACCTTGAGCTCAAAGCAAGAGGACAGCGTAAACTGTTTAAAAAAATCAATAATTGGAATTTAATAAAATCAAATACTTTGCAATTTTAAAAAAACTTACAAAAATAAAAAAACAAGCTATATACTTGGAAAAAACATTTGCATGGAATATATTTAACAAAAGACCTATATCTAAAATATGTAAAGAACTCTTATAACTTAAGATAATCCATTAAAAAATAGGAAAGAATTACGTAATTATTATGCAATGCATGCCCATATCAAAACATCCTAGGTACCCTATAAATATATATACCTACTATGTACCCACAACCATTAAAATTTTTTAAAAAAAGAGACTTGAATAGACACACCACAAAAAAATTACAGATGGCAAATAAACATGAAAAGTGCAGCATTGTTAGTCCATAAGGAAATGCAAATTAGAAACACAATGAAATATCACTACAACCCACTAGAATGACTAAAAATTAAAAACACTATACCAACTATTGACAAGGAAATGAAGAGTCACTGGAATGCTCATACACTGCTGGTGGGAATACAAAATGATGAAGTCACTGTGTAAACAATCTGGCCATTTCTTAAAAAGTTAAACATGGCCGGGCCCGGTGGCTCAAGTTTGTAATCCCAGCACTTTGGGAGGCCGAGGCGGGTGGATCACGAGGTCAAGAGATCAAGACCATCCTGGTCAATATGGTGAAACCCCGTCTCTACTAAAAATGCAAAAATTTGGCTGGGCATAGTGGCGTGTGCCTGTAGTCCCAGCTACTCACGAGGCTGAGGCAGGAGAATTGCCTGAACCCAGGAGGCAGAGGTGGCGGTGAGCCGAGATCGCGCCATTGCACTCCAGCCTGGGTAACAAGAGCGAAACTCCGTCTCAAAAAAAAAGTTAAACATATACCCACTATCCAACCAAGCCATTGCCCTCCTAAATATTTATCCAAGAGAAAGGAAAAACATATCCTCACAAAGAACTATAGACAAATGTTCAGAGTAGCTTTATTTATACAGCCAAAAGCATAAAAATCCAATATTAATAGGTAACCAGATAAACATTTGTAGTATATCTGTACAATAAAAAGGAAAGAATTACATATGCAACAATATGAATCAAACTCAAAATAATTACACAGAGTCAAAAAAGACAGACCTTCCCCACACCAAACAAAGAAAACCCATACATAATACAAAGAATTTATAGAACAGAAAGTAACCAGTGATTGCCTGGATAACATGGGTGGAGAGGTTTTGGGACTTATTAAAGGGAAAAAACAGACTTCTGGGCTGACGGATATGTTCATTATCTCGATTGCAATGATAACTTCATTAATGTATACATAAGTCAAAACTCATCAAATCATTTACTTTAGATACAGTCATGCACCACCTAATGACGTTTTGGACAACGACAGGCCACATATATGACAGTGTTCCCATAAAATTACAATATCATATTTTTACTGTACCTTTTCTATGTTTACATGTGTTTAGATACACGTAGCATTTAGGGTTTAGAACACTTTCTTTTTTTTTTTTTTCTTAAAGCTCATTTGATTAGGTCAACCCCTGCCAAATTTTCACCCTTCTACCATATAACAGAACCTAATCATATAAGTGATATCACATATTCACTGGTTCCACCCACACTCAAAGAAAAGAAGATTATACAAGGTTGAGAGGGTCATTGAAGCTCATCTTAAAATTCTGACTGTCACAAGGAGATTCATACAAAAAAAAAAAAGCATGCAAAGATCAACTAATGGTGTTCAGCTTTAACTGATTTTTCAGACCCAAATCCTAGTAACAGAGCATTATTGCAATAAGCTGAGGCCAGCGCAGGGGAAATAACTCATCCAAGGTTCTGTAGTCAAGGACATGTCTGGTCTCCTGACTCTAGTCTTCTGTTCAGCATCCATATATCTTGTTCTGTAGTGTCCCTTCTACTTCAGAATCAATGGGAAACCGCTCCTCCAGTGTCAAACTAGATGGCAAAGAAAGGGGACAGGAAGGCAGATGCAGTCATAGGAAATGATGTGGTGATTTTTTTCCTTTCCCCATTTCCACATGAAACTCATCCCACAACTCAGAACTGGCCCAAAACTCATAGGTTGTGGGGACATATTTCAGCTCTTGCTGCTGCCTTTCCACAAGTTCTCTATGGCAGTAATAATGGCCTTTGGTTGAGATCAATGTCATGTCCTCTCTGGGAGGGAGGAAGTAAATAGCCGGGAGTGTTGAAGTCCTACTATGTCCCATAGGTACTTGACAGGTTTTCTTTTCTTTTTCCTTTCTTTTTTTTTTTTTTTTTTTCGAGAAAAAAAGAGAGAAAGAAAAAAAGGAATGAAGGAGAGGAAGAAAGAGGAAGAGGGAGAGAGAACAGGAGTATTGCTTTATTCTAAAAATAGGTATTAAAAACCTCTTTTATGCCCATAATTGTGCTTAATAATGGCCAACCAATATTTCATTTAAAGCTGTGAAAAAAGGTGTGATGTGGTACTGATAAGAGTGTATATTCTGTGTATTTAAAGTGGAGAGTTCTATAAATGTTTATTAAGTTTACTTGTTCCGGATCTGAGTTCAAATCCTGGATATCCTTATTAATTTTCTGTCTTGTTGGTCTATCTAATATTGATGTTGAAGTCTCCCACTATTATTGTGTGGGAGTCTAAGCCTCTTTATAGGTCTTACATATCTGGGTGTTCCTGTATTGGGTGCATATATATTTAGGATCGTTAGCTCTTCATGACTATATCTAAAGGGTTTAGAACACTTTCAATTGCTTTATAATTACCAACAGTATTCAGTATAGTAACATGCTGTGCAGGTTTGTAGCCTAGGAGCAATAGGCTATATACAGGATAGCCTAGGTGTGTAATAGGCTATACCGTCTAGATTTGTGTAAATGCATTCTGTGATGTTCACACAACAGTGAAATTGTCGAACAATGCTGATATTGTTTGGACTTTTGTCCTGCCCAAATCTCATGCTGCATTGGAGGGGCCTGGTGGAAGGTGATTGAACCATGGGGCAGATATTCCCCTGGCTGCTCTTGTGAAAGTGAGTTCTCAAGAGATCTGTTCATTTAAAAGGGTGTGGCACCTCCCCCTTTGCTCTCTCTTCTGCCACCATGCAAAGAAGGTGCTTGCTTCCCCTTTGCCTTCTGCCACAATAGTAAGTTTCCTGAGGCCTCCAGTCATGCTTCCGGTTAAGCACAGAACTGTCAGTCAATTAAACCTCTTCTCTTCATAAATTACTCAGTCTCAGGTAGTCCTTTATAGCAGTGTGAAAACAGACTATTACTGTAATAGCAGTGTGAAAACAGACTAATAAAAATTTCTCAGAATGAATCCCCATTGTTGGGCAAAGCATGACTATATGTGTGGTGTATTATACCTTAAACACACGTCAATAAAAATGAAATAAAAGACAACATGTTGGTGATCTTTGGCTCCCTTTTCCCATTTGAGGGGCTGTGGCATCTGTTTCTATCCTATAGTGATAACTACAGTGACTGCATGAGTGCCTTCTCTTAGTGCCAGCCCCTGAGACCTCCTAAGCCCTTTCATCACTAGGAGGGTTCTGCTGGCATTGTCATTTGGTGATTAGACTGCCCATCCACAAGAACTAAAAAGGCAATAATTGCTTAGATATTGCACATTGGTGACATTGGTGGCCTCGTCTTAGGTAATCTTCATCATTAAGTATGGATTAAGTTACACCAATCATTTTAGAGTCAAAGGCATAGCTTGGAGGTCATCTGAGTCCCAGTCTGCCAAATGACAGTGTCTGAGCACATCTTTCATTTCCACAGACGCGTGCCATACCTTATCCTTGAGTCTCATTTCACATCTTTATTTATACCCCTGATTATGTGTCCTGAAAGCTTATTTGTTTTAACTTTTCAGTGTCTCTTTTCCTGACCCATAATCAGTGAAATCCTGAGCCACATAAAGACCACAATTCACCAAGACAGATTTATTTCCCAGAAAGTTTCTTCTTGAGTATAGGTTAAGCATGGGTTTGAGAGTTAGAAATTTATATGAACAGTGTTTGGGAAGATGATAGTGATGTTTCTTGACAGGTTTTTATTATTTTAACATCAGTTTTCTCTGTCTGTATATATTAAATAGAAGAAAATGGTATAACTTATATCTGAGAGGCTGCCTGCTATAGTAGAAATTACCACAAATTTTGTACTCAAATCTGGACTCAAAGCCCATCTGTATAGTTTCCAGCTACATGATCTTGGGCAAGTTTCTTTTGTGAACCTCAGTTTTCTATTTTGTAATGTAGGATAATTGTTGAAAGGATTTAATAAGATATTTTCTTTAAAGAATCTTGCACAATCAAGTCATAGTAAAGTGGATCAAATCATGGGATCAGAGGCCACACAGTCCACATTTCGGTCCTGACCTCATCACTTATTTTGTAACACTCTGTGCCTCAGTTTCCTCATCTACAAAATAAGGATAATGGCATCCAGCTTCCAAAGTTAGTAGGAGGGTAAATTGGTTAATACATGTAAAACATTTACAGCAGTACCAGGAAAAAGATGCAGACTCATTATATAATAATAGTGGTTAGCTACCATTATTATTATTGCTGTAGTTATTTGTTATAATGTCTGCCACATAATAGGTGTTGGAAAAATAGAAGGGATTGTTCATTTAAAACCCTCTCTTTTTGGTTTCAAACAACTTCTCCCTCCTGCAGCCCCTTAAGTATTTATGAGAAACCCCAATGTTCGTCAGATCACAGTAAGAATGATACCTTCTATATGAGTATTGCTCAGCAAACCAAATAGAATGATAACTAATGTGAGATTTTGATTGTGTATTTCAGTGATGCTGCTTTGTAAATCAAAGCTAATTGGTTCTGAGGACTTGCTGCTTCCTTAACCAGCTCCTACCAGCTCGGAAGCTAATTGATTCTGAGGACTCGCTGCTTCTTTAACCCTCCTACCAGCTCGGAAGCAAGCATGCAATTTTCCATGTAAACAGCAAGGCTGCTGCTAGAAAGAATATTCAAAACAAGTAGAGTGCCATCTACACAACAGCAACATCGAGGCTAGGGATTTAGACTTATCATACTGAGCTCCACCCCTGGTATGTATCTTAGAAGGGGGACCGATGTTGCCTCACTGTAAAGTTAGGTAAGCGCAGCTTCATCCTCTGGCAGCCATCCTTTGACTCTTTTCCTTCAGAAAATGGTGCAAACTTTTTGCATCAATGATTCTTTCTTAACCATTCCCTGGCACACTCCTTAATCTTATGGATTCAGTAATTTAATCAGCTGTTAGATAAAGCAGTACTTTTATTTGTCTCAATGCCTAATTTTCAAATTTATGTTTACTCACACTGAATTTGGCATGCAAATTTAATCCCTAAAGCAGAAAATAAGAAAAACTGATGGGTGTAGGTTAAAAAATGAAGCTAGTAAAGTTTGGCCATCTAATCAAACTCCACATACTCCCATGATCCCTACAGCTGTCCCTTAAGTATTTCTTAGAAACACCAAGTGTTCTTTGACTAACACTGAAAACTTCTTCCCTAAAGTTACTTTGTTCACTGAGTTTTCCAAAGAAGCCTCTGGATTGTTGTATTTGCATATCTCATGAAAAGCCCGCATCCCCACCCTCGACTTCACTGGTTTGTGCTTTGATACAGCTCATCATGTTGACTTTACGCTATTTTCCAAAGTGAAAAAGCCTAAATTTTTCGATACATGAAAAAATCCTCCTTTCTACCCAATGATCCATTTCTCTAATTATTTAATAATTTTAAAAAAGACCAAAATGTTCAAGATTCTTTAATCTTGATGTCTGTCCCTAGAATTCTATTTGAAGTCAGATAATAAGGCAAACTCAGAGAAAATAATGAGAGCTCGAACGGACCCTGAAAGGCAAATCCTTGAGATGGAGTCCTTGTATGCTAAGTGGAATAGTCATTGGCATACAAATTTGCGGACCTGGATCCTCATTAAGCCTGTCACAAGCTGCTTCTGTAACCTTTCCCAGGTCAGTTAGCCTCTCTGGACTTTGGGGTAATCCACCATGCTCAGCTCATAGCATGGATGACCGTAATGAGAAACTACAAAGGGAAATCGAAAGATTCTACAAATGGAGGAAATCATATGTTTTTCTTTTTCTTGGGAAAAAAAAAAAGGTAGGGGGACTTGCCCCCTGGAGTTTGAATCGGCTCTGATTTCTCTTTATTTTCTTGCATGCACAAATGCCTTTTTATGTGAAGACACTTTTTTCTTTAAGAATTGGAATTTTGGTTGCCCTACTTAGAGTCAAAAATGCCTACGAGCAGCCGTCTTTTACTCCTACACATATAGCCAATTAGAGGGATGTACGTTCGTCCTGGGCCTTAGAGAATCTTCTTCTGATCCTTGCAGTTAGAACCTCGTGTTCAGAGAGCTGCTTAGTTATTATATCTAATGACCTAGTTCAACCAAGACAAAAATGTAAAATATGCTTTTTCTTTCTCTTGTCTGCCACCACAGACACACACATGTCCATGTGCATGATGTGCATGCTTTCAGTACACACACACATACACATATGTGCACACACACATTTCTTTTCTCCAGACCCTTTGTGTCAGGCATTTTAGAATTCCTCCTGCCGAGTTTTCATGAAGCTCCAGAGTGACCAAGGAAATGCCCCTAGGGACACACATCATTCTGACCAGCAGTCAAGAGTCTCTGGAAGAGCATGAAAGCCCTAGGTACCTGAGAACCAGTCCTTTGGGTGATTAGGTATTTTGCAGACAGTAGGATAAATCCTCATCTTTTGCTAGAAGAGATATGCGTTCCCCCAATAGAGAAAGTGAAAGGGCTAGCCCACTATCAGTTACCATGGCAACTCAGATCCACTACCTGCTTAGTTCATCTTGTCATTGCAGAAGACTTGAGGGAAAAACAACATTAAGCTTCTCTCTGTTTTTTGTCAGATATTTTAAAGTGACATTTCATGACAAGAGTCTGAAACACCTTTTTAGGAGTGAAAAGGAGAACATCAGAGAGAGAGAGAAAGGGGGAGCAATGAGCCTGGGTCTGAGGACATATTTGAGGGGAAGGGACTGTGGCTGATGTGGTCAGTACCAATAAAACAGGAGGGAAGGAAAGCCATAAATATGTATTGAGTGCCCACCTCAGGCCTGATGCTGTGCTTAATAATGCGCTGTGGCCTCTCCGAGCCCTCCCTCTGGAAGAGAAAGGCAGCTGTGACCGCATGAACAGGAGCTGCCAGGGCATCTGCACAGGGCACACTGCGTGCAGGGGCTGGGGCACTGACACCGGTGTTTGGAGGGATGGGTGGAAGGCAGATTTCTTACAGGAAATATCTATGCTAGAATCTAAAGAAAGTATAGGGGAGAGCAGGTGAAAAAGTCCTGGAGCATTTCTGTTTGAGACAGTGAGCCATGCAGAGGCCCTAAGGAGTGAGACTTTTAAGCTCAGCTTAAAAGACTTCAAGAAGTTCCTTTTGGCTGGACTGGAGCCTGAAAGGACTTAGGGCAAAAAAATGAGCATGGCTGGAGAAGCTAGCAGGGTCTCTGAATTATGACATCACTTATAATAAGTCATGTTTGGGGGGGGCTGCAATTTATCTGGACCATAATAAGGAGCCATTAAAGTATGCAAAGCAGGTTTGTGAAAACATCATACCAGCAGCAGAGTGGAGGCTGGTTCTGGAGTCAAACAGTGGTGGGTGGAGGGAATGAGGGAGACATTCTAAAGTGAAGAGTGTAGGTCATGGATCAGACAAGAATGGCAGCAGTGGAGATTAAGTGATGTGCATGGGTTCTGGGAATTTTATGACTTAGAACCAACAACAATTATTGTGGGTGAAAAATGAAGGTTACATTGCTGGGTGACTGAGTGAATGGCAGTGCCCTCACTAAACAGGAGTCAGTGATGGAGGAGCTGGCTGGGGCTATTTGCTTGATTACAAAGAAGCCAGATTGGGCCAGGTGGGTCAGGCTAGGTTAAGCCTTTAGAATAGCACTTGTCAAGCTTTTGTATGAGCTTGTGCATGGGTATGTCCAGAGTGCAAAACAGGTCTCATGGAATACAATGAGATGACATAGCTTAGGACATGACATGGGTGATTCTATTATGGAATGAGATTATGTGTAGACTCCAACAAGGGGTGCATGAGAGCAACCACAACAAAACAATTCAGAGCATCTTTTTATTCTCTCTTTAATTAAAACCTGCATACCGTCTGCACGTTTCATTACTGCTATCTGCCCATGAAAGACTGGAGGTGAGCCATAGCCATAAAAGATGGAGGAAATTTAATTTCGCTGTTGGTAATTGAACCAGAATGTTGAATGTGGAGTTCAACATTCTCATTCAGGTTCAGAGAAATTTGCAGTGAGAATGCTAAAAGTGGCATGTGGTAGAGTGCCATGAGGATAGTGTGTGGCCCGTATGAGTAGTTCCTGGTGGTGTCCGACCAGCTGGCTGGAGGGTCCCTACTGTGATTCACACACATGCTTACTTACCCCGATCTTTCTTCCAGCAAGTCCAGTGTTAAACTCATCACCTTCTTCTGGTGGTCCATGTCTTTCTTCAAAGGCTGAGCTCATTTATATATACAGCCACATGATATCTTGGTTTTTGCCATTTCAAATGCCAGGTGTAAGATCCAGCACCATAACTAGGTGATGCGTTCATCTTAAGCAAGTTGCTTAAATTCTCAGTTTCCTTGTCTGTATTGGAGGGATGACAGCGACAATCGTGAGCCCACCCCACCGGTGGCAATAAGGGAAAAATAAGACAAGGCCTGAGAAGGAGGGGTGGAAACTGGAACAGATGTTTGGACTTCCTGTCATAGCATGAGGAGGCCAGCTGCGTTGTGGAAAGAAGAGGCGTGAACCCCCCAGTTCCTGCTTCCTGCGGCCCTGCCATGCATGTCTAGCTCTCTCTGGGAGGTATTTTCTCACAGTAACCTTGAACCATCTGTAGGAGAGTAGCAAGGCTGAGAAGACAGAACTCCTTATGTGTAACAGAGATGCCGCTCCCAGGCGTTTCTTCTCCCACATGAATGAGACAATGAATGAATCTCTCCCTGCACCCTCACTATGTGTCAGCTGTCTAAGGTATAACCTTGAGCACAGTTCCCAAATACAGTACTTTATGTTCTCTCCAGTGATAGTGATTACTCACTTCTGGAGTCGCAGAAAGAATATGGTTTTGGATTCAGGTTACCTCAGTGCACCTCTGACATTTACTAGGGGTGTGGTCTTGGATAAATTATTTAACTTTTGAAGGAATCATTCCTCCCAAACATTAGAGATCATTTATACAAGGGGCCAAGTGCAGGGCCTAGCACAGAGTAGGCACTTGAGCAGTAGCTATTTTATTTTACTCCTAACAATTTATAATAATAAGAATGTATGCTCCCCCCAGCCCTTTAGCCCACCGTCCCTCGAACCTGCATGAATAACTATGGCTGCATAATAATTTCTGTCATTCCTGAAGGAGGCATCTAAACTCAGTGGTTATGAAATCAATTAACATCAGAGAGGATTGGGAAAAAAATCCTGTCTGTGACTCTAGCCCTGTGACTACTCAGAAGTCTCAAGTCTGCATCACTTTAGCTGGCATCTGGAAGTTACTCCCGCACCTTGAAGCACCCCTGCAGAAGTCAGGTCTGGTGAGGGTGGGCGGCCCTCTCTGCAGGCAGAGGGCAGGAGGCAGGGGAGCTAGAGAGAGATGTCTAGCTGGGCCTGTGCTCCCTAGCACTCTTTTGTACCCAGTGGCTGTGTGAAGGGTGGATGAAGGGTATTTGGTTTTAATTGGGAAATGCTATCAATTGTACTGGGCTCATTTAAAAATCCATTAGTATCAGGAAGTGGATAGATTAAGCAATGAGGAAGGGAAAAGAAAAAGCTGTCAGCACCCTGCTTTGTAGGGAGTATACGGCCTGTCTAAGCTTCACCAGCAAGAGCTGTCCTGAATGTTAAGAAGCCTGTTAAAGTCAATTTCAAGATGCTGGGGAGGGAGAGGAAGTGTCTGGGCCAATTCACACGAAGTCCTGGGTAAGCTTATTGTTCTCGCAGCTTCCAAAAGCAGTACTGCAGTAATCTACACTGCACGTTTCAGATTCCTGCAGCTGTTTCTGGAAGCCTGGCAACTGTGCCACCCAGCTGTAAGCCCCATCAACACCTGCAAATAGCAAAACCCTTCTGCCCCCTTCCTTGTTGCTGACTGCTCAGCTGGACCCAGATACCTCTTCATCCTGGGAGCCATCAGTCAGGTTAAGGGTCTATGGTGGACCTTGAGACAAACAGGGAGAAGGATTTTAGAAATGTGCCAGAAGATGAATTAGAAGAGACAGCAAAGAGGGGGGAAAGATAAAAGCAAGCTATGAGAACAAGAAATGAAAGAGAGCTATGATAGGGCTGTATATTAGCTTCCTAGGGATTCTGTAATAAAGTACCACAAACCATGTGGCTTAAAACAGCAGAAATGTACAGTTTTGGAGGCTAGAAATCTGAAATCAAGGTGTTGGCAGGACCATGCCCTTTCTGAAGCCTCTAAGTGGGGATCCTTCCTTGCTTCTTCCAGCTTCTGGTAGCCCCAGATATTCCTTGGCTTGTGGTAGCCTCACTCCAATCTATCCTCTGTCTTCCCCTGGCCACCTTTCTGCTGTGTCTGTGTCTGTGTTTTCTAATAAGGACATATTATTTCAGATTAGAGTCTACCTCATCCAGTAAGACCTCATTTTAATTTGACTACATCTGCAAAGTTCCTATTTCTGAATAAGGTCACATTTATAAGTATTAAGGATTAGGATTTCAACTTACTTTTTGGTGGGGCCTGATTCAACCCATACCAGGCTGTTTAGGGGACTGCTCTCTGGTTAGTTCAGGACAGCACCGCAGAAGGCCCTGGGAAGCTTGAAAAAGTACTAATCAGGAATCCAGGGTCACAGACTGAAATGCCTGCAGAGGCCAGGCGGGTAACATCATAGGTTCTATAATAGGAAACTGGGGACTGTCCTTTAGCCTGGGATCACTGGGACAACAATGAATTGGAGAGCATGCCCTGGATAAGGGCAAAAGCTACTCAGCCCCAGCTGTTGTCACTTTGTGGAACTGAGAGGCTCAGGGATGCCAGATCAAATGAGAAGCCAAGAATCCAGATTTCTATGTGAAATTTCTCAGTTTTGTTTAAAACTTAGACAGATTTTTTTCCCCAAACATGGTGTACAACAAACTAAGACCATCTGCAAATAAGGCAGACCCATGGCAGTCAATGTGCCACCACTACTATAAAGCCTTTGGTTCAAATCCCAGTCTTGCCACGTGCTGTGTGACCTCAAGCAATTTACCTCCCATCTCTGGGCCACAATTTCCTATTGAGGGATGAGATGTTCTTAATCATCCAGTAGAGTATGATAATAAATGGTGGTGAATATTCAGTGTAATGGGATGCCAGGCCCACACTGGAGGTACTTACATATTAGTTTAAGAAGCAGAACTTACACATTGGAAAATTGAGAGGCTGGGCACAGTGGCTAATGCTTTCCCAGCACTTCAGGAGGCTGAGGCTGGTAGATCATTTAAATTCAGGAGTTTGAGACCAGCCTGGCCAACATGGTGAAACCCAGTCTCTACTAAAAATACAAAAAGTAGCCGGCCGTGTGGCAGGTGCCTGTAATCCCAGCTACCTGGGAGGCTGAGGCAGGAAAATCACTAGAACCTGGGAGGTGGAGACTGCAGTGAGCCTAAATTGTGACACTACACTCCAGCCTGGGCAATAAAGTGAGAATCAGTCTCCAAAAAAAAAAAAAAAAAAAGAAAATTGAGAGACCTCAGCCTCAGCCAGTTGTCTTGAGCATTATATAAGTGGATCAATTCAAAGCTAGTGCCCAGCCTAACACTGAATAATTCTTCTCCTCATGGATGACTCCCATTAGGGCTCCATTCTGAGTGAGGCTGTGTAGCATCATGGTTAAAAGCTTTGCTTCTGTATGCAGAGATGAGAGAGAGAACATTTAGTAGGTACGAAAGATCAGCAGCAGAATGGAGACAGACAGAAATCCTGGAATTCTGGCTTTAATGCTACTGATGAAATCAGCTAGTCACTAGTATATATTCTACATGTGAGGCACTGTCCTAAGAGCTTTCATGGATTATTCACAATTAATCTTAATGCTAGTACTGCAAGGCAGACATAATTACCCTTGTTTCATTAACAAGGATACAGAGAAACTGGATTCTAGAGTTTTAAGTAAAATCTCTCAATTCATTTCAATGGCAATGGAATCAAGCATTTTTCAAACACTGTGATGTCTAAACTAAGTCCATCTGCAAACTGCGCCCAGCCCATGGGCAGCTATTTCACAACCTTTGGTCATGAGCCATGGGTTCCAGTCCAAATTTTGCCAATTTTCTGTGTGAACGTGGGTGAGTAACACCTATAGAGAGTAACATCATACTCTCTGAGCCATGGGTGAGTTACTCAATAGCTTGCCAAGGTCACACAGAGCTTGTATGGTGGCAAAGCCCAGCCTCTGAATCAGTCCAGGATCACTAAGTTTATTGATTCCATCATCTTCTGTAAGTGTTTCTGATGCTTTTTCTGAGACCTTTTTATCAATCAAGCTACCCAGATCCAGATAGGACACACGATGCTGACTCACCTGCAATGGCTGCTATCCTTAACAAACTTTAATGAAGGACAGTGAGGAGGAAAGCAAACACCTGGAGGATTGCATAGATTTCTGTAAACCAGAAGGGTAAAGAAGAGGTAGGAAGGTCCCTCCTGAACACGGCATCAGTTGGCCTAAATTGCATCATGGAGTTTTTGTTTTCCTCAGTAACGTGACAATTTTGATTCATGCCTTAAAATAGGAGGACTCTGGGTTTAATACTGGATGTCATTTAGTCTTAAAAACTCAGTGTGAAAATAAAGCTGCCCAGTGGTTTTTCATATTTAGTTTTAGCAGAAAACCTTTAAAAAATAAAATCTTACATAGAATGCCAGCATATAAAATAGAATGAGCTGGTGTTCATCATGTGCCGCTAAGGCATAATGATAATGACAATGGCAATAACAGCAGCAGCAAATCCTTGCCTTGGGCCAGCCACTACTGACTCTGAGACCTTACCCATGGTAACTCATCTAAGCCTTGCTACAACCCTTTGAGGAGACTGAGGCAGAGTGATGTTACATAGTTTGTTCAGGGCTACAGAGCTCAGTGTGGGAGTCAGGCAGGCTGCCCCAGGACCTGCAGTCTTCCTGCCCTGCTGCTCAGCTCCTCACCCTGTACACCACAGGGGAGGGGTGCCCCCATGAGAAACACTGATGGCAAGTGGGAACTGACAACAGAAGCTGTGTCTCATGACCTGTAATTTGTAGTCGACTTTGAAATCGTTGTTTGCATTTACTATCTACAGAGACTTAACACATGTGAATTGTCTGTCCCCATTGACAGTTACAAAGGCCTGTCATTGTACCTGTTCCAGCTAATCTGTCATTGAAATGCTTCATACGGTCTTTCAAACAGAAATTGATGTCTGCTTCAAAGCCTAAATTGTAAGTGAGACTATCCCAAGTGTTACTCTACAAATCTGGTGAAAACCTGTCCAGTTGTTACCTGTGGTTAGGAATAAACAGACCCACATTTTCTTGTATTTGTAAAGACAAAAGTAGAGCTGCATTGACTGAGGGAGATGGGAACCTGGGGCCTGCTGCCTGCGATCTTCCTCTCAGCAGCCGATGAGACAACTTCAAAGAACCCTGGGCTCTGGAAACTCAGAGAGCGATGGTCCTAGTCAGATAGAAACAAGTTTGTCTGCTGACTCCAGGAAAGGGAGAGAGTTGTTCTAACCTGGGGCCTGGGAGAAATGACAGCATTCAGAAGTAGGGTCAGCTTAAGGAAGTAAGGAGATGCGGAGGGCACAGCAATCCCCGGCCTCTGAGCCTCAGGCCAGAGGGTGTTTCCAACACCTTCTGAGAATTTGGTAATGACTCACCTATTCGCAGAGGCACTGCTGGTACCTGGTTTGCCTGGAACCAAGCATAGATATTTAATTTGTATGATTGGGCTGAGGTTGACAATGTAAATCATAAATTAAACCTCTCTTGAGCTTTGTTTTTTTACTACTTTACTGATAGAATATGACTTTTAAATAAAACATGGGATTTAAATATCAAGCTTCTGGTGAGTTGAACTAGAACAGATTTCTCAATCTTGGTATTATTGACATTTTGGGCTGGATAATTCTTTGTTGTGGGAGCTTGCCCTGTGCATTGGAGGATGATTAGAAGCATTCCTGGCTTCTGCCCACTACAGGTGATGAGGGTGCTCTCCCTCCTCCACCTTCGACAATCAAAACTGTCTCTGGGCATTGCCAAGTATCCCCTGGGGTGAAGGGGACAAAATAAATGCCAGTTAAGAATTCCGAATTAGATGATATTAGAGGTACTATTTAGCTATAGTCTTACAATCTCTTATAGTCAAATGACTTTGGAATTAAAAGTTGAACTCAGTATATTTTGGTACTGCTAAACATATCCTTTGTCTAGACCCTCTGGTTCATAGGTTAAGACTAAGATCATAGTGATTTCCTGTCATTCCACTTGCTCCTGGCTACTTGACCTCAAGTCAGTTGCTAAAAAAAAAAAAATTAGCTTAATAATCCTGTACAGACTGACCTCTCTAACCATCTCCTGTTGCCTCCAATTCCCTTCTTTCATCAGACTTTTTCTTCCCACCATATAAAACTGGAAGAAAAATTAATGTCCAGTGTCTTGGTTAAGAAAATGTAGCTCACCCAGACAGATTTTCTCTTCTCAAGGGGCATGATTTATTTTTTACTTTATATTTTTAAATTGTCTCTTTTCCGTCAACTTGCTCCAATAATTCCTGGTTAATTACTGAAGGCCTTAAGACACAAACCCAATGTAAGCACGTGGGCTGAGAGTTGAAACTGCGTAATCAGGCCACAGCCTACATTTGAATTCCGCCTCATCTATCCATGTACTAGTTTCAGGATTGTGGGCAAGTTCCTAAAACTCTCTGCTTCCGTTTTATTATTTACTAAATGGGGGCAGCAATAGTGCCAGTCCCATCGGGTTGTGGTGAAGATTTAATAAAATACTGGGTATAAAGTGTTTAGCAAAGTACTATGCATATAGTAAGCATTAAATACACACTATTACCTCTATGATCTTTGCCATTATAATGATTTTTAATTATCACTTTATTCCCTTTCCTCCTATTTCAGCTGAAAGTATCTGGAGGTAATGACTTCCTGCAGTCAGGGGATTGCCTTAGGAACTTTTGTAGAAATAAATAATTTCCAAAAGCAATTAAAACTGATTTCATCATACCTTTCAACCACTCTAAGATCACCAGCCAAGATGATCTTAGAATTCAGCCAGAACCAGAAATTAGGAAGTCCCAAAAAATCCCCAAATCCTCCCCTCAAATTCCCTAAAGCGCCCTTCCCTTCTTTCTTTCCTTGTCACCTACACAGGGTCTCCCCTGCTCTATTCGGCTTTCCTTTTCCAGAAGTAGCCGCTGCCATCATTTGAAGTGGCTACACTTGAGTTCAGAATAACAGGGGGAAAAGACCGTGTTTCTTCGACAATGCTTATTTGCTCAGCCAGCGAGAGGCAAAGACTTGCGTGGAAGAGGTGAATCTTAGGTGTGGCCGAAATAGCTATTGTCGCTTTATCACCAACCAGAGTGAACTCTTTGCTGCCTGTGTCCCCAGTATGAAGAGAACAGCCCTGATACTGAGGAATAATTCAGAGGACTTGCTAGCCTTTTTTCTTTCAACTGGCAAAAATTTAAATGTTTACTATGGAGTTTTGTGTCTTCTGTGCTGACAACCAGCAGTGAAGGGTGTGAGTAAAAGCATTATGGAGGATGTCCTTAGCATGCAATAAAGCACCATGCCTACACCTGTGCACAGGCTTGGAATGTTTTTTTAATCCCAGTTCTGCCATTTACTAACCATGAGACAAAGATTGTCACCTCACATATTTCAAGATACTCTCCTATCCATTAGCACAGATGGT